GCTGAAAGTGGTGTTAATCAGTTCTAGTTGTGGAGCTGAATGCACAACTAACAATGTTCTCTGTCAAATTCGTTTATAGAAATAAGATGTAATACAGTTGCCAATGAAACAGCTGTCCACAAGAGACCAATAGGCGAGGAATTAAAATTAAAAAAACCTAGGGCACTGTGTATTTAGTAAGCTACAAAGGCCCATGCATGACAAATAAATAAATAAATAAATAAATAAAGGCAACACATGAAAAACAAATAAGGCAGACAACAACCAACGACAACAATTTTTTTGCTAAGGACGGATGCATAAAGAATGTGGCGGAGTTGAACATGTTTGTTTTGGCGTAAACCTTCCCGTACCTGGGATAATGGTGTAACAATACAACATGAAAACAAACTATAATATCCGTTGGGAAAGACATGACTCATAAGATCGTTACTAAGCACACATAAAACCATAAAAGAAATACCAAAATCACAAGGTACCGTTCTAAGAGTACTCGCATGCAGTTACTGAAAGCTAGTTCAAAAAGAAAATTCCTACTGATAAATAAAATGAGTGCATTCAGAATAAGTGACTTCAAAGCGGTAAATTTAGGAAAATTGCTTATTTTGTCTGTGCCAAATTGTTGATATCCCCCAAAACGTCTAGTGGTCTATTTTTATTGCACAATTAATGGTGTCTGCGGTTGTACCTTATAGAAACAAAAAGATGTCTTAATGAAGAATTACTGCACCTGATAAAGTATGGATTCGGATACTATAATATGAGTAATTCTAACGAACTCTAGTCGTGATGGAACATAAAGTTGAATATGCAATTCTGTTGGATTAATATCCTTTCTGAGCAATTCTGAAATGTTTATATTGTATACATTGAGATACACAGGATTTGTTTTTTCCATAGTTAAATATAAAAAGTCATAGAATTTGTATATTTGTAGCGTGTATAAACAATTGTACAACATTCATGACGTGAGTTTCTAATGATAGTAATAAACGATTAACTGATAAAATAAAAGTTTTCAAACAGTCTGAACGTTGAAATGAAAAATCAAGTTGAAAAAAAAAATTACAATCCCAGTTTTGGATAAATCAAGGGCTTCAACACATATAGGTTTTAGATATTCTGTATTTTTTTTCCTAATAATAATTGAGTACAGGCATTCCTTGGTATCTAAGGTACTGTCACTTTTGTGGCAAATTTTAATTACGGGCAATAGAATCTTCATTACTTGGTATAAGTGTACATAAAAGTTTGATAAATCTAGAACCTATAAGAAGGCTTACAAATCCCTTTGTGAGAGCGTACAAAATGCAAGGAACCAGACATGTAGAGCTCTGTTAAACCGGATAATTTTGTTAATTATATATGTGCATTATAACAATCTTAATACGATCAGATTGTCCATCGCGGCGAATCCATGTTCAAACAGAGGTAAAGAATAGAGGTTAATCGAAAGTTTTGTCTAAATTTAAGGTCTGAAATCATTGAACCGGTATACACGCAAGGATTAAGTCGGAGATTATCCGATAAAGAGAACAAAAAAGTGACAGAAAACAACAAACGACAACAAGTGGACTTCAGGCTCTAGGTCTTGGGCAGTCATATTAGCGCTCAACCATTTGCCAAACCTGCAACAGTGGTGTAACAGCAACAACATTAGAAAACAATCTGTAAATATCAATTGATGCTAGATTTGTATTAATAGATATATCTAATGAATGTATTTGTATTTCAAATTTCTGACGTCCCCACGACTAACATTTTCCATCGGGTAACAAAGGAATATACATGACTAGCGCTACAAATTTACGTATTTACTTCGTTTGGGCCCAATATTGTTAGATCTGCAAATTTACGGAAGTAATGTTCGTCCTTCTTCAGCGGGATTTGTATCTGCATGCTTCTGTGACATAGTGGCAAATCCGTCTTCACAAAACCACTCGGCCATCTAGGGTGGGTCTCATTGGGGTCTAAGCGTGACGCGGGATTGGCCGATTTTTGTAAGCGTGACACGTGAAAGTCAAATTATTGTCCGTGAAAACGGGAAATTAAGTCGGGTGGGACACGTGAAATTACCAAAAAATTAGCCTGGAATCCGGGAAAATCATCATTTTATTAAGCGTGAATCAAAATTTGTTGTCAAAAAAATGAAAAAAGGGATGTGGATTGACTGCCAATGAGACAGATGTCCACCAAAGTTCAAATGAAGTGGATGTAAAGCCCCCATCACACTAGACCAAGACCATGAATAAGGAGTTGACCTCATACTTGAGTGATTTACTAACTAAAATATATAAGATTGCATTGAGATCGTAGTATGGTTGGCTTGAATATTCATTAATTTATGTCATAGTTTTCACATTGATTACTGCGATCTTGCTATGATCCTGATAAGATCCTGCTACGACTTCGCTACGAAAGTAACACGTTCTATAGTTACTATCTTGTCACGCTCTTGCTGCGTCTAATAAGACCTTACCACGACTTACACGATCTCTGAACGCTTCTTCCAAAACCTTCCCGATCGCATTACATTTCAATACGTGTCTACTACGATCGAAAAACGACTCCACTTCGTTGTCACTACGCTTTTGGTCCCTATAAATATCTTGACTTTCCCAGTTTACACATCAGTTTCCTGGAGATAACTTTCCACTAAAGGTATTAAAAACACTTAGAGATCGGGTGCTAAATAAAAAGCAGAGGTCTCAAAAAAGGTATGCAATTTTGAAATTTCCAATTTGCAAATTAGGAACTATAACACAATTCTCATGGCTAGGACGTAGTAGAATCGTAGTGATGTAGACGAGAACAAGGGCAAAGTAGCAGCGCATTATTGTCTTCCTCATCGTAGAATAATCGAACCAATATTGTACTTAAGCGTAATTAAGACGTATAGTGAAATCGGGATTGTCGCAGTGAAATCTTATAGGCCTACCTAAGGTTGCAGCGAAATATTTTCCATTGGCTACCCCGATTGCTCAACGTTTCTAATACGATGCTTCTACGCCCATCCCGATCTAACTACGTCCTTACTACGACTGAGTTCATACGGTTCTACTTCAACTAGTTTTTTGGTCCTGACTACACTACGAATGTTTTGAGCATATTCAAAGCTCCACGATCATTAAGACTTGGCATGTCCTTTTTACGACCTGACCACGATATTACTATGACTTTCAAAATTTTATAATTTCTGAGATCGTAGTGGGATCGTGGTCCTAGTGTGATGGGGATATAAGTAATGTTTGTTTGTTTATCATATCAAATGCATTCCGTTTTTTCTCAATATAATCTTATGACAGTCTGGGGCGTAGCTGCCGTTAGGCACTTTAGGCACGTACCAATACACATATTTAAAAATAAAAAATAAAAACAACATTATATGTATATACATGGGAACTCGGTAAAACTCTTTAATTATCAAATGTCATTTGTACACTAGTCTATCATCCTTAGTGAATTGAGTATTGAATAGAATGTCATTATATTCCACCTTATATAAACAACTAAAAACTAGATCTTTGGTTCAGATCATTTCATTTCTATCAACAAATACTCAAGTTGAATTAGCCTCATCATTCTCAAATCCTGCCTTTTTTTATATACATGATTTATTTTTTTATTAATTGTTGTTGACTTTCAACTAGCTTTCCACTTGGTCCTTATCCGACCTACAATAAAATCCTTGCCGAAGTTAGGCGTTCGTTTGGTTGTGCGTAATGTATAATAACGCAGTCACGTCTGGTCAGAATGGGGACGTTAAATCCGATGCCGCTAGTGTAGAGAGAATGCCACGCTCTCTACACGTTAAGCAACTTGCAACAACTCTTTTAGGGGTTCGTAGGTGGTCTACTGAAAGACAAAATCTATGTTCCTATCCAAGAAAACCACATTTTCTATGCATTGCATTTCTAAGATTCCAGACCTTCATCCTCGACGATCAGGACCTAGCTACCTGTTGTATTTATTGTAAATTTGTTTTTGTCCTATACAATCATGAACTATTTGCCATTTTTAGCAATTAATCAATCAATCAATCAATCAACTAACTTTCAGCAACTTCGAGTACTCTAAAATCTACGACCTGCTGGGTGCATTGATTCAACGGCCCCAGATCCCCTGCCGCAATTTTTACCCACAGTTAATTGGACATGTAGTTACGCTTCTCACAGTCTTGGCGCCCAGAGTACCACCCACCTTTGGCGAGTCACTGACAATTTTTTGTGTCATTCCTAAATTTGTGACACCAGTAAGCCATTTATCGGTTTCCTGATATCTTGCCAATGGTAAATGATACAACTGTGGTATACCGATAGGAGGGCTATTGCAAGGCGACTTCTTATAGAAAAAAAATATAGGCGGGAAACGGGAAACTTAAAAAATGATAAGCGGGATACGGGAATCTGACAAAACAATTAGCGGGATACGGGACCCTCCCCCCTCCCCCCAATGAGACCCCCTCTAGGTTTTGTAAAAAAAATATAACTTACGTTACGGCAGTTCCGGGATACGGTTTTTAGTTGAATCTGTCATGTGACCAAAATGTATGCATTGTAACTTCCAACACATGTTGAGCAAACGGGTGAAAAAGTTTGATTTTATACTGCACAAAATATTTGGGAAATTAAAATCTAATAAGATGGTCACCCTCCCTCAGTCGTACGGGAATCAAGATTACGTACTTACGGAACATAAATTATTTCTATACTACCCTACAGAATGACGATTCTAAAAGTGCTGGAAACTTTTAATAGCGCAGGGATACAGGCGCGCATTCTATCTGGTAAATGACGTCATAAAGGCGTGCGAAATTGACGATCTTTTCCGGTGAAAGACAAAATATTTGGGAAATTAAAATCTAATAAGATGGTCACCCTCCCTCAGTCGTACGGGAATCAAGACTACGTACTTACGGAACATAAATTATTTCTATACTACGGAACGGAAACGATCACTGTACGGAGTTTGCCCTACAGAATGACGATTCTAAAAGTATCAACGTAATATACGTTGGCCTATTTCCGGAAAATCTCTTACCTGTCGATGCATTTAAATCATCGAAAGAAATGCTACAAAATGGCGACTTTATATCTTATTTACTGTGTGCTTAATTTACTGTTCAGTTGTGAGTATACTATATATATGTATATCATATAAACTTTATGTAATATCTGACAATTATAATTTTATATGATTATAATGTCAAATTGTTCATTAATAATTAATGTTTTGGCAAGTATTGAAGTAAAGGAAAAAAATGGAATTATTGAATTCAGTGAAAAACATACGTGACGTAAGAACTTGGCGCAAATAATCACATATAGCTGTTTACATCACTTTCAATATCTGGGCAGTTTTGTATGTCCCATTAAAACTCTTAGTAGTACAAACGTGTATGATGAGAACAGATTGTCAAGAAGAACATAAGTTGAATTATCTACAAACACGATCACTGGGGATACAACTAACTATTCAAAGTATTTTATTCTTTACAGTTTGATTACGTTACCCAATTGATTAAAAATAGAAAAAAGATATTTGTTTGTCCTTCGGATATTTAACATCGTCTATACAATCCATAAACACCAAAAGGACTAAATATTTGATGAACGGGAAATTTAAACACAATATACAATTCTATTTCTATATTCTACGACGTATATCAAAACAGTAAGATATTTAAATAACGTTCCAATAAAATGCGCTACGAATTTTCTTTGAGACATTATGATGGTATTGGTTAGGCATTGAATGGCTTGACAGGGGTGTGGAAATAATTGTTGTGACCACTTGTCCCTGGCCAAGTGAAATTGTAAATTTTACTTGTCCGAAAGAAAAATTACTTGCCCTGATTTCCTTACGAATTTGGAATGAAGATGATGTATTTTACTGTAAACGTGTATTTTCTTAAACAGTTTTGAAACACAATGCAAATAGTATTCATGGTCTTTGTTTGTACATAAGAATGATAAAATGATAAGTAGAGTATACACCAATGAGATATAAACCAACCAACCAAAAAAAAACAAAACTTGAAACTAAAGAATATAGAGGCCAATTTTGTAATGTTTTTCGATGCTAGCTTACATGAACCTGGGAGATTACAATGAATGTATATCATGACTTATATTTTCTCCACTGTGAGCCTGTGTGAAGTTTTAACGTTTATAATGAAGAGTTGAAAGCCAAATAATTGATTGAATTATTGAATTATTGTTTGCAACCCCCTCCTTCCACCCTCCCCCACCAAAAAAAAAATTTGGTAGGCCGATTGTAAATTTGAGATTTTTTTAGATAAGCGAAATCAAAACATTATAGAACTTTAAAATCCTCTATTCCATTTATTTTCATACTATTTGTCCTTTGCCACTTCTGATTTACATTTCTTGTCAAAACCAAGTTCCTGGCTCAGCAATTTTATTTTCTATGAGGCGCATCTTCTCCGTTGGTCAACTTCCGAGCGATGACCTATTTAAAGATGCTTACCTGACTTGATCGGTCATTTAGTTCAGTTCATTCTTGAGAAATCAGAGCTCGAAATTAATAATGACCATTCTTGGTGTATCATTAGTGACAATATGAATTACTGTGTACCATCTATCAACACTTTGAAGATTTGCGAGTCATTTTCTCTACTGAAAGGGTAATCAAATGATAATGAGATAAGTATACCAAACAAAGCAATTTAGTGACAATTCAAAGAATAAAATGAACTTAAAATTACAGTATATTATGAGTTCAGTGGTCATGTTTACAGATATGTTGCTACACTTCTTATTTGAGTTGTTCAAGTTGTTACAACGCGATTCTCTATTTAGTTTGAGCGTACATACCTATGCCTATATTACCTAAGGACAGCGTACTTATCAAGCGTAATGTCGTTGAAACAACAAAGCGTATAACAGCTTCAGGGAGTGAAAAAAACAGAAATGGTATGATAACCAGATTAATATTTTTTCTGAATATAACGTCACAGTACCCAAATTGCACCGAGTACCCAAATTGCACCTATTTATAAAAAAAAGCAGCGGAATATGGCATGTTATTGGTTGCAAAAATTTGATATTTTTCATTTAAATGCAATATTTTTCATTTAATTGATATATTTCTTCATTTAAATGCAATATGTTTTATTTGAATGGTATATTTTTTCATTAAAATGCAATATTTTTTATTCAAATGGTATAATTTGTCATTCAAATGCAATAATTTTTATTCAATTGGTATAAATTGTCATTTTAATGCAATATTTTTTATTCAATTGGTATAGTAGTTTTTTTATTTATATGCAATAATTGCATTATGGGAAATTCTTTGACGTCATAAGGTCAAATTTGCAACAACGTTTGTGATTGTTTGGTAATTGTTTGGATTTCTCCCCTTTCTTTCTAAACATAAGTGACCAAGAATTAAAAAACGCGTCAGAATATCGCCCCTCAAACTAAATCTGGCGTTCGTGCGAGTCCTGCACTGGCTGTTAAAATCTTCTGGTCCTAACTAATATTTCTATTGCAAAATTTCGATGGTCAAAACGTTCGGACAACAACTTTTCAAAAACTTTCATTGTATATGGATCTATATGCAAGTATATCGGTTTTTTTAAAATAGATTAGAAGGCACCGTTGGTTTTTTCCCGTTTGAATGGTTTTACACTAGTCATTTTTGGGGGCCCTTTATAGCTTGCTGTTCGGTGTGAGCCAAGGCTCCGTGTTGAAAACCGCACTTTGACCTATAACGGTTTACAAATTATGACTTGGATGGAGAGTTGTCTCATTGGCACTCATACCACATCTTCTTATATCTATATACAACGTAAACCAGACGTTTCTCAGACTGTTTTCTTTTTTTTAATAAATCCTTTGCCGCGCGTTGTGTACTGATTGATACTTCAATCTGGGAGAACATGATTTATTTCAGTACTAGTTGTTATTAGCTTTGAGCAAACTTCCACTGACTAATTGAAAATACTCTAATGTCGGTGCTTTGTGTCTATTGTCTTCATGTTAGTTTTTTTGTGTGTCTCGTATCGATCTTTTGACTAATTGCAACTGATTAGTGCAGGTTGTTCTTTTATTGTACTGTTACACCATTGTCCCAGCTTCGGGATGGGTTGAGTGCTCACAAACATGTTGTTGTACTGTTACACCACTGTCCCAGGTTAGGGGGAGGATTGGGATCCCGCTAACATGTTTGACCCTGCCACATTCTGTATATGTATGTGCTTGACCCAAGTCAGGAGCCTGTAATTCAGTAGTTACCGTTTGTTGCTGTGTTATACATATTTGTGTTTCGTTCATTTTTTGTACATTAATTCGGCCGTTAGTTTTCTCGTTTGAATTGTTTTACATTTGTGATTTCGGGGCCTTTTATAGCTGACTGCGCTGTAGGCTTTGCTTATTGTCGAAGGCCGTACGGTGACTTATAGCTGTTGATTTCTGTGTAATATGGTCTCTTGTGGAGAGTTGTCTCATTTGCAATCATACTACATCTTCGTTTTTATATCAACCCTACCATATTCTTTATTTGCCTGTTCCAAGTCGAGGCCTGTAATTTAGTGGTTGTCGTTGGTTCATGTCTCGACTCATATTTGATATTTTGTAAATTGTTTTGTTATGTATAATTAGGCCATTAGTTTTTTCGTTTGAATTGTTCACACTTTTCATATCGGGCCTTTTATAGACGACTTTACAGTATCAGGTTTTTGTCATTGTTGAAGGACTTACGATTGTCTATAATTGCTAACATCCACTTCATATTTGAACTCCGGTGGATAGTTGCCTTATTAGCAATCATATCCCATCCCATCTCTCCGTTTTTATATTATATACCTGACTTCTAAATTCGTGTTTTCCTGAACAAGCATGAAATATTTGTCACTGGGCGTTAAAAATTAGCAACAAACAATCAATCAATTTAAAATTGTGTTAAATAAGTGGAAAACCATTTGATATTTATCTATTTGTTGGGGTGGGGGACAGAAGGATTTCATATATGAATATGGTTGCCTGGTAAGAGCTGAAAAATAGGCATGATTAGCGACAGATTAAAATGAATAATAATACCCTCTCTTCCCTTCCCCATCCTTCATCTATAAATTTAAACTGACCACCACGGAATAGCCCAATAGTGTTCAAAGTAGCGATAAACACCAATCAATCAAAATCCCTTCCCTAGAATATCAAATAATCGTCCCTTAACTGTTATTTTCCGACGGTAGTTCTTATATTTATCCAGCTTATCGTTCTACAGGGATGTCCTACTAAGGCTGTCATACCATAAAAACGTTTATAACACAGCTCACATTCTAATAGATCTGCATTCATAAATTTATTAGTCATTTAGACTAAACGACGCCATATGTTTGTTATGTGCCTCTGCCGTCTAAACAACCTATCAAAAAAGAATAGGTGGAAGAGAGCCAGAAGATCTTCCCAATGCAAAAAAAAAAAAAAAACAGAAATGGACTTATTCTGGCTCACTACCGAAGAACAAAAAAACGCGCCCCATTAATATGTTTTAAAAACGCCTTGTCCCTACCCTTTTTTCCCAAAAATTGGCATTGTTAAATATATATACATATATATAATCATCATTACAATGCTATTGTATTTTTATAAGACCTACTTTATTACATGATCTGGGACTAATGACATCTATCTATAAGTCCAAGCATACAGTAAATTATTATAATATGAATATGTTTCTTGTTTTAATAACCAGATATGATGCTATGCTATACATCTCTATACAAATATCTAAATCTGAACCCCCTCCCCCCTCACACACAAACCATAACCATTACTGCCAATACTCGCAGATGTGTAGACTGTAGGGGAGTTTCTTCAGAAAGGGTTTTCATTGGAGGCGTTTTTGCCATGCACGCAGGTATCTGTTTCTATTCATGAACAGGTTGTGTGTCAAATTAATTATTATTACTTGTCACTCGCATTTTTTGCTCGACCTGGCAATAACAGCCAGTGCACGAATTCGCACGAACGCCAGATTTAGTTAGAGGGGTGATATTCCGACGCGTTTTTTTAATTCTTGGTCACTCATGCATGTTTAGAAAGAAAGGGAAGAAATCCAAACAATTACCGACCAATCACAAACGTTGTTGCAAATTTA